GAGAAGCAGGCTCCCCGCCGAGCCGGGAGCCCGATGTGGGACTCGATCCCAGGACCCTGGGATCATGACCTGAGCCGAAGGCAGACGCTTAACCACCTGAGCCATCCAGGCACCCGATCATCCTGATTCTTAACAGCGGTTTACATTTTTCTCAGACTTTGTTCTTTCCAAATGAAAATGTGGCCCACAAGACTGCTACGTACAAACCAGCCCTGCAGAGCTCTCCCTCCCTGAACTGGGATGGTGTGCTGAATCACAGCTGTGGAACTTCCATCTCAAGGCTCTGTCCTGTGGTAGCTACTGCCAAAGCTGGGGGTGGGGGAGCTGGAATACGTATCAGAAGAAGTAGAGGATCAATAAGGAGGACACAGCGGGGGAGAGGCAAAGCTCCTAATGGCATTAGGGGCCACTTTGTCGTACAGAGATGCTAAGTCCTACAACATTCTTCACAGCTGTCTTTTTTCTCTTACACTTCTTTTTTTTTTTTAATTTGTAAATAGAAACCTCTTCACTGACTTTTCTGATTACAAAAGCAATACATGCTTGCAGAAAAATGTAAGTAGTACCAAAGTGTCTAAAACAGAAAGTAAAAGTCACTCCATAATCCTGCCTAAGAAATAACCCACTGTTAATAGTTACTTCATATCCTTGCAAAAGGTTAAACACATGATACATTAAAATGTATGTATTTCTATAAATAAAACCAGATAATACATACTATTGTCTAACTCCTCCTCCTCCCTCCACTTATCACTACGCTGGGAGGCATCTTACCATGTAAGTAAACAGATCTGTCTCATTAAAAAAAAAAAAAAATGACCGCACAGTCTTCCACTGAGTGGTGTGTGGTAACTGAATCTTCTAGTGACAGACACCTTTATTATTTTGAACTTTTTAGCTATTAGAAATGATGCTACAAGTGAGAAGACGTGTCTATAAATTTTAGTGCATTTGCCTGATTATTTTCTTAGGATAAAATCTTAGAAGTGGAACCCTTTGGTCAAGGTGTAAGTCTATTCTAAATTTTGATACATGTATTGTCATACTGTCCTTCAGAGAGTTTAATCCTTTCTAGTCCAATAGGAGAAACATTGTCATTAATTTTAATATTTGTAGATCACTAGGAAGGTTCAGTATCTTTGATTATTTATCTTTGTTTCTGAATTGTCGATTCAGAGCCTTTGTTAATCTTCCGCTTGTTACACTGTGGGAGCATCCTATATAGCAAAGCTTTTAAAACTATACAACATAAGCTGCAAATATTTTTTCCCACTTTACTTTTTGTCTCTGTTTATGGTGTCTATTACTAGCAGAGATTTTACATTTTATATAACTAAATTGGACAATTTTTACCTTTATGGTACCATGCCTGGGAGAGTCTTTCCTATATAAAGATTATAAATATTTTCTTCTATTGCTTTTGTAGTAAAATCATTTTCTCTTAAAAACTGTAATCCATCTGGAATCTGGTTTTGTTTTTGTTTTTTGGTATGGCTTCAGGGAAGGATCTGTTTTCCCAAACAGACGGTCAGTTGTCCCAATGATCACTTATTAACTAACTCTTCCCCCACAGAGTTGACAAATCACCTTATACATATGACTTTTGGGGGACTATCCTGTGTTCCACTGATATCTTTGTTTATTCTTGAACTAATACCCCACTGTTTTAACCATTAGTTTTTTGGCATATTTTGAGGTCTATAGGGAAAGTCTCTTTTCATAAATGGCTATTATAATGTAACAGAATCCACAAAAAATTAACTATAGCAAAATAACCACTCTCTACCAATTTTGCAAAACTAATTTTCTGCTAGGTTAGATGTAAATTATTTATCTTCAGCTGGTGCCTGGTGAGAGGGTGAGCAGAGGAAGAATCCATGCAAGTTTATACATTTTTAAATATATCATTAAGGTGCAATAAGCTCAATTATCAAACAAATTATAAGACTCATTTGCCCTATGCTATCCCATAACTACATTTTCCCTCAATTTTTTCTTAATTTCTCTATCAGAGGAAAACTGGAAAGGGAGAGGTTCATACTTTTGGCTCCACAGTCTTTACTATTTTTTATTTTGTTCTTCAGGAAGATCAGTTTTGTATCCTCTGATGCTAGGTGAAAAATTAGAGAGGATCATTCCCCAAACTCTTATCTGCTTCCTTAATTTTTCAGCAATTGCAACACTGGTCTTTAGCTCTTTCAATAAATTATTACGGAGCACCATCTAAGTACAAGGAATTGTGTTAGATCCACTATTAAATGACAGTATCTAAACTCAATCTCAATTTGGGCATGTATCCTGCAACAAAGTCTTCTTGAACCACCAGATTAGGCTAATGGCCTCTTCTCTCTGCTCATAATACTGTCCATACCACTATCCTGGCCCTTACTGAAGGTGAGGATAGGGTTTTATTCATGTTGTTTCTGTAGCACAGTGCCTGGTAGGTGCTGTAGGAAAATTAATGTGGTGGAAGTATACAAAATGAATTGGAAGGAGGAGAATCTGAAGGCAGGAGGTGAGTTGCAAAGCTACTGCATTAACTTAGGCAGGAAATAATAAAAGTCTGAACTACTGTGGTGGCTGAGGAAATGAAAAGGAAGGAAAGGATGTGAGAAATATGAGCACATGATATAAAGCTAAGTTTAATTAGACATGCACTTCTCACAAGTATTAAGCATGCATATAAAACAGGGAAAGGTCTTACCTAGAAAGTCTTTCATGCTAGAGAAAGGAAGAGACAAAACAAAAACAAAACCAGCATTAGCAAAGGACTGATAATTATTATTTCCATTTATAAATGCACTTTTCAAATCAGATGTCTCAACTTCACAGGTGGAGATACGGGTGCAATTTAAGAAAAGCAATTCAATGACTGCACAAAAGGCTACTTAAGCTAGTCTTCCATGACTCAGTAGATTTGAGACTGGGGAAAGCATCTTTTTTAACTGGAAGTCAGCAAACTGTAAAATGATCAAAAACGTATCCCCACCCTTAACCACCACCCAACTAACAAACCATGCTTGTGTTCTAGGAGGGACTGATTTTCTGTGCGGTACTTAGCCTCTCTGGATCTCAATATCCATTCTATTACCTTCCTTCTGTTCACAAACCCCCAACCCTGCCCTGAGTGAATACTGTAATCTACAAATATTAAAACTCAGGACAGTTTCTCGCTTTATCCTAGACCTCTGGTGAAAGGTGAGCAAGAGAGTACAGGGAGCGGGTAAGTCCCATCCTAGTCCCTAGGATGGTGGTTAGAAAATGAAAAGAATAAGAAAGTACTTTGAGGTCTCAGAAGAAAGGAGTTTTGTAGATGCAAACTGTAAGCTTGGTTATCTATCGATGGTCTATCTTTGGTTGTAAACAAACAACAAAAAATGATTATATTGATATTTTACATTTAAAAAATCATAGATGACCGTTACCCTCTTATTTCCACCTTTTTTTTTTTTTTAAAGAACTCAGGCAAATAAAAACTCAGTTGATTTGAATGTATTTACTTATTTTCTCTTTGGAGATACTGAAGAACAACAAAGTCCTCAAGGACACACAAAAAATGGAAGAAGAGAAACAAGGGCCCAATAATCTACAAAACGAATAATAAATCCTTTGACTGCTGAGGAGTCACTCAATGACACTGCTTTGTTGAAGAAGCATTAAACGGTCCCTGGAAGCCACTGGTTTGTCAACCAACACAGCATGACAGCACAATATATACCACCCCCTAAAGCTGTCCAGAAGTGTTTGCTGAAAGGAATTCTCTCTCTAAACCACAAGTATATTCATCAGAATTCTTTTGTGGACTTTTTCAAAATGTACATATCCCAACATCAATCCTAGAGACTCTCTTTCCCTAGGTCTAGATAGGGCCTTCTAACATGTATTTTTTAAAAGTCCCTCAGATGATTCTGTGGTACAGCCCTGGTCAAGCACCGACTAAACAAAGGCTTTTTAATGTGAGCATGTGTCCCACTAGAGATGGGGAAGCCAGTAAGAAAAGTATATAGTGCCTCTTTAGCATTCTCATAAACTTGGGAGTTGTAGTGTCCTAAAACTTAGGAATCTGGAATTGAGGAATGGTCCCTGTCTCACATTTATAAATGATCTTCAGGGAGAGTCATATGCCTAGCCCACACTATCAATGACTACTTTATCAACATTAACTAAGGTTGTTTCTCTTACTTGAATCCTATTTTCGAACAAAGAAACTAAATTTTAATCACCTCTCGAGAATTACTTAATGTATAAACACGTTTCAAGTCTACTCAAGTGAAAACTGAGATGCTAGACTGTTGGCGATGCCCACTCACCAGCTTAGTGTTAAGATCCAGCCTTTAAGGCATCTGGGTGAATTCAAATTCATATCCCAGGAAAACTGTAAACTGACATGGCAAAGATTCATGAATTAAGAATGAACTCCATACCATTAAATGTTAAGGATCTAGTGAATTTAAGAACCCACTGCGTGCAAAGCCCTGCAGAAGAGGCACCAAGGAAGAATACACAGAATAAGCTGCGTGAGTCAGGAGAGCACCAGGAACATAATCAACAAGCTTGTCTGAAGCAAGGGAAGGAACACATGTGAGTAAGTGCTAAGGAGGTAAGGGTGGTAATCAGTGGGCTCCAACTACAAAGGCTTCCTAAAAGTCATGAATTTTGAGAAGAGAAGGTTAGAGAAATACAAAGACATAACATCCATAGATTTAAAAAAGACATGTTGTTACAGGGGGTTTCCTTACCAGTGATGCATGCACTTATTCCCAGTTACATCCTCAGTGCCAGAACACGATGGGTGCTCAGTGAAGACTCACGGAACTAAACTGTTAATGCTTCTGGGAAAGAGCGTGATGTCCTTGGCTGGACCTGAGCTCTAATTGTTGCTTTGACATCTTCTAGCTATGTGACCTTGTGCAAGTTACCAGCTACTCTTATGGTAAAAATTAAATGTGATAGTTATGAGGAAGTACATTCTTAAAATGTCAGCTTCCTCTCCTGCCCTGCCCCCCTCCCCCGTTCCCTTTCTGGTTGTAAAAATACTATATTGGCTGCTGATGTCAGTTAGAGTAGTAAGTTAACTTAGGACCTTTGAGTCAGGGAATTGAGCCCACAGACAACCAAATGAAACAACAATTTAACAATTTAAGAGACCATTTACTTTCTCTTGCTACTTCTAGGCAAAGCTGCCTTTTTCAAACTTCACTGTCCATATGGGAGAACCGTTCTCCCCCGCACCCTGCCCTTGGGAGAACTATTCTTATCAGTCTCTCCAAAGACAGACCTGCCACACCATCTCTTAGGTATGGAAAAGGACCCATATATAATCAAACTACTCTGCCTTGTGCCTTCTTTTGCTTCCTCCTAACTGAAATAGAAGTCTACCTTGCATGGTATTCACTGATTGAGACCTGATTCATTTACTGACAAATCACGTTTATCTATTGACTTTGTTATTCCTAAAATGTGGGACCTCACTTGAAAATGCTTTAGTTTCCTCTTTGTAAATATCTAATTTGTTGGGTAAGATTTTAGCTACATCTTCAGCTTTAAGTTCAGCCAGCCCTGTAGACTCTGGCAGTTGCCTCTATAGTGAAGAAACAGTGTTTTTTTTCACTAAGACAAGGAAATTACGATTTTACCAGGTATCAGTTTTAGCCATTATATAGATATCAAAGCTCGCTAATCATTTCCACTGATTTATTCCTACAAGAATGACATATAATTAACCTTTTTCATTTAGGACAGTCTAGAAACACTACGAAGCTATTTATGCCCTGTTGTCACCCCCAAGAAAGTTCTCAGACAGATACGTGACAGTACAGCATGGCTGGATATGCCGTATGGCAGCCACGGAGGAGGTTGATATAAAATTTAAACACTTAAAAACAAAAAAATAGGTTAGAGCTACCAAGCAGTAATTGGGTTCCTGGATATGAAAAGGTAGATTGCACAGGGTTTTCTAGAGGCCTAAACGAATCTCTCCACAGATGACAGCACGCAGAGGAAGGTAATGCTAAGGGTGCTCAAACCTGTGCGAGCTATACCAATTCTTGTCCCGACAGGCATACTTGCAGATGTTTCCCACAGACAGCCAACTAGGAAGCTGATGAATGACACCGATTTCTGCCTGCCAGGAGCAACTAAAAGCAAGTATCACAGTCTGCTGTTTATCATTTTTTTTTTTTTAAGATTTTATTTATTTGACACAGAGAGAGACACAGCGAGAGAGGGAACACAAGCAGAGGGAGTGGGAGAGGGAGACGCAGGCTTCCGGCTGAGCAGGGAGCCCAATGTGGGGCTCGATCCCAGGACCCTGGGATCATGACCTGAGCCGAAGGCAGACGCTTAACAACTGAGCCACTCAGGCGCCCCTATCATTTTTTTAAGGCATGTTAAGATTTGTGTTATCAATTGGTTTTGGGGTGAACTTTAATAAAAAAATGTCTAGGTGATGAGTGATCCAGTAGACATGAGGGGAGACGATGTGCCTAGATCCAGGTATCCGAGAAAGCAGGACTTCCAAGTTAATCCTTGATCTTTCCTCACTACTTCTGACACTCCCTCCCCACCGCCCCACCCCCACCTCCTTGCTTTTACCTAACTTTTGGAGCTCTCTGGACTTCTTGGGGCTTTTTTTTTTTTTTTAATTATAGCTTTCAAGGACTACCTTAGCTATGTCCTGGGAAGGTCAACCCAACCAATTAGAGGAGAGCATATAAACCTCATGAACCAAGATGTCGGTATAGTAGAGGTGGCATATTACCATAACACAATATCATTTCAAAGAAGGATGAAAACTGGAATTTCTAAAGGCGCTGGTGTTATCATTGTAATAGAAATTAGCTTAAGAGGAGTGCTCCTATAGGGCTGAAAGTATATAGGACATGGGGTACCTGGGTGGCTCAGTTGGTTAAGTGGCTGACTCTTGATCTCAGGGTTGTGAGGTTGAGCCCCATGTTCGGCTCCGCACTGGGTGTGGAGCCTGCTTAAGATTCTCTCTCTCCCTCTCCCCTGCCCCCCCCCAAACAACAACAACAACAACAACAAAACATATATAGGACTTAGGGCATAATTTCCCAGCTTCTGATAAAAAACCTTTTCAATTATACTTCCTCATTTTTTCACTGGTGGAATACCTCTAGAAACTATTGTTTTGCTTGGCTTCTTGATATTCTAGATAATCTGGTGTTTGATGAAAAAACACTGGTTAGACTTAGGGAGAGAGAAGTGGTTTCTTGGGTAAAAGGAGCAGAGCTGCTTAATTGGTAGAGACTTAACTTCAATTTTCCCTTTTCATCCTGCTGTCGATCAAACTAAGCATAGTTCACTGTAATCCTGACACTGCTTCTCATTCTAAAAAGCTGTCTGCCATCCCTGCAAGGAGACTGCTGAGTGAATGTGGAGAGAGGGAGACAAGATAGAGTGGGAGTTTGCCTAAGTGGTCTCAGGGGAACAGCAAGCCAGGAAGTGACATCATAAAAGGCAAGCAGAACATAGGCTAGGGAAATGAACACTGAAGGTTTTCCAAGAGAAGATTCTAAGAAGTCAGCCTAGTGGGCAGCAAATAAGGAGAAGCCCTACAACAGAGGGCTCAGGGACCCCAGCCAAATCTAGGATCTTCTGGAAGCTAGGAATGTGAGTTCCTCTTACCTATGTTCTGGCAATAGCCCTATCTTTCTCTGCAGGGTCTCTCTTTTATTTATTTATATTTTTAAAAAAAAGAT